TGCGTCCGGATCAGGGAGTGCCCGGAGTGGGAAGGCGTGAGGCTGCTCAGGAGGCGCTGGTCGGAGGCTGTGGTGCTCTGGGAGACGGAGCTGGCCGTGCTGGAGTGGCTCATGTGTTGTTGCAAAGGTGGCATCTGGTGCTGTTGGCTGTGGCTGCGGTGCAGGTCCTGGAAGGTGGAAGACACCAGGCGGTCCTGGGACCACTCTTGCTTGTGCGGAGGCTGGGACAGGGATGGGTTGGAGCGGGTTTGCTGGAAGCACGCAGCCGGTCTCTCCACGTAGTTGTTGCTGGCACGGATGGAGCGGATCTGGTCGATGGACAGGACCTGCTGGAAGTCCTCCGTGGTTGGGTCCATCGTCTCGTCACAGCTGAGTTCAGCCACACTGGAAGAGAGCTGCATTTCCAGGAGCAAGGAAACCCTGCGGCATCAGGGCACATCTAAAAATCCTAAAGGATGGGGCAGGAAGACAGAGAAAATATTTGTGTTACTTTCTATAATGGATCCATCCAGGAAGCAAAGACCGGTTGGAGAACTCCTAATGAAGTTATTTCCAATAATCACACTCCAAGTACTTCTGTGCCTGGGGAGACTCGGGCTGGACTCAGCCAAAATCTGTCCCTTGACCCAGGCAATCACAGCATCTCCTTACGCTTCTTAGCTCCGCACGTCCTTCCAGAGGATTTCCCACCCTTTGCAGCACTGATGGACCCTGTCTGTCCTTCCTCTCCTTCCCAGGGTAAATGCCAGCCCTCTCTGGAGGAGGGAAACTTGAAGCTGTGACTTATCCAGAGCCAGTGACAGAATTGGGAACGGCATCTCCTCCAGAGCAGGAGATGCTTTTGGGGCTTCCCGGTGTCCCCAGAGCAGCCTCCCAGTGCCATAACATGGGCATGGAGACGGAGGGGATCTGAACACTAATTGCAGGCAGCATCAGCAACAAATTGCAACTAATGAGACACACATTAGGCCAGGGACAGGCCAAGCCCACGGAATCCCTGAGTCCCGGCAGTTCCCACTGCAGCATCCCACTTTCCCACACACAACCCAGCGCAGCCCAGGAACCCCGAGCAGGGCAGTTCTGGTTTCTCCTTCACCCCGGCACAAGCAGAGGGGAAGCAGGGAAAGCAGAGCTGGCAGCAGGCAAGCCCCAGCCTGCTCCCTGCACCCAGCCTGCCGTGTGTCTGCTGCTGTGCTCAGGAAACGGCACTTCCTGAGTCTGCAGCACCGGCAGGCGCCTGCTTTATCCCAGAGGGAAGGTCCGGACCCGCCGAGGGCGGTGGGGCTGGGGCAAGGAGGACCCCCATGTCCTACAGTTCCCCCCACAAGCTTTGACCTGATGGCATCGGCACCATCACCAAACCTGGGCTGCCACCGGACCTCGCTGCTGGCAGCTGGTGGAGCCTCCGTGGGGCAGGGGGAGGAGAGGGGCAGGAGAAGGGCTCTCAGAGGAGCCACGTGCCTTAGGATGGATGGAAGGGGAAGCTTGTGC